TCAAAATGAAGAACTTTTACAGCATTACTTTTTTTGTTTAACGATGCGTGTATGAAGCAGCGGGCGCACCTGGGACAGTCTGCACCCACTACTGGTGTCTGGCGCTCTGATGGGACCAGCCATGGAGGTAGGATATGAGGTAAGGCTTAATGCTGTCTCGGGGCACATGGATGGCTACAGTTGATGCTTGCACGCCGGAGGGAGAAGGGATAGGAGTAGGGGCAGTGGAGACATTAGCATGGAAGGGAGACAGAAAAGGTTAGTATTTATGATAACACTGCATGAGGGAGGGAGAAAGAAAGTTGTACACTTTAGCGCGCTGGAGGGAAGGACCAAGTGAAGGGAAGCGGGAATGATGTTAGTAACCACACTAGCACTAAGGGAAGAAGAAGGATGTTTAGCAAGTAGGCATAACATCACTAGAGGGGTGTCGGAGGGTAAGAAGGCAAGTAGGTGCAATATCACCAGGGGAACGAGATGGAGGGAATACTAGAATCGTAGCGACACCCTAGCATTAAGAAAAGAGGAAGGAGGATAGGTTGCTTGACACCCTTGCGGCCACGAGTGTCTCAAACGTCTCACCCTTTCGCTTCATAAAACAGAAGTCATACCAGACCGGCAAAGAGGAAGATCAAATGCTGCTTGCTTCAACAATTTCTTGTGCCTGGTGAACACACGCCACGCTACCCGGCTCACTAGATCGTGCATTAATAACCACAAGATCTCATACACGGAACATTTCCACCAAAGAAAAATTCTCAGTAGCTTTTTAAGATCATCCGGAATCATTCAAGCAATCTCTCGTGTGGAAAATAACATCACAACATTCTGTTCTGCTCCTTCAGTTTCTCTAATGGAACTGTTTATTTAGCAAGTTATCATCCTACAGTTCAAGAGACAAAGCACACACTATGATCACCATTGCAATATTCGCTATGATAACGTGTTATTTTTTTGTTTTAGTTTCACTGTTTATACAAAGCTCTCGTCACTGGCTTCGCCGCCCCGAGTCCGAACCACATATTTGGGGTTATTTTTCAGCTCCTCTAACATGTGGTACTTGTCCTTGGCGCTGCGTCCACCGCCGCCGGCGTCGCTGCTGACTCCTGTGCGATAACTCGCCGTCTCCGTCACACCAAAGCTACCCCCAGAGCGATATGGGTCACTACTACCGTTGCCTCCGGCCTGATATGTATCGTGGACCACATTAGCACCACTACCGCAACGATAGCTATCCCCCAGCATTCTCGCTCCTCCTCCTCCACGGCCTCCACCCATACCACGATAGCCATCGCCCAAAACGCCTCTGTCGTCACTTAGATAAATTTCACTCGCGATATTCATACTACCGCGATAGCTGTCTGGACCAAGGTTACCGCTATTGCTTCTTCGATAGCCCCCACTAGCACCCAAACTACCGTCTCCTCCTCTATAAGCCTCGCTACGATACCCGTCGAAGTCCCTGGACCCCCGACCGTAATTTCTCGGTAGAGTTTCGGAATAGCGAGTGTATGGTGCGTAGCCTTCCCCCTGTAAGCCCACGGAGGCAGCGGTGATGGGGGAGTGATGGGTCTGGTGCACGGGAAGGGGTAACGCAGAGGATGGGGCGTAGGTGGAGGTGGAAGAGGTGCTAGCGTGCCCGGCAGTGGAGGTCCTCTGAGGGCGGGGGAGGGTGCAAGAGGTGGAGGTAGGGAAGGTAGAGGGGAAGGCGGTCTTGCCTAAGCTGTTGTAGTAACCAGCCGAGCCATTGGCCAGCGTCTGCGAGTCAGTTTGGCGCCCCAGTAAGGCATCTGTGGGGGGAAGAAACGAAGAAAATCGTAAATATAACCAGCAAATGATGGATAAAAAGCAATGTTTAATGCGAGAAACCATATTGATATAATTAGCAAACAATAATAAAAAGGCAATGTATAAGCGTGGAAAATGTAATATATATATATATATATATATATATATATATATATATATATATATATATATATATATATATATATATATATATATACATTATATATATATATATATACATATATTAGTATATTTTAGTAGCAGTCTTTCTTCGTGCTTGTTGATATGTTGTTGAAGATGACCGAAAAGGTAAGATAAATAATTCCAACACGAATTTTCTCAAAATGTCATATGTTTCTCTTCACTGCCCAAGGTAATTGAAATATCAATTCTCCAAAACTCATTTTTATTCTTGGTCTGACGACTGAACGCATTTCGTAATTCTTATTACATTTTCAAAGACTTAGTTATCACTTATGTTGTTGTTGTTTTAGATTTAACTACTGAGAACGAAGTGTCCATATAGCACGTACTATGGTGAGCCCGTAACTGAGTTCGGTTACTTGCTACTGTTACTTGTTACTTGTTACCTTGTTACTGTGATAGTTATTAGTATATTTATAAACAATTTACAATAAAACAAAAAAAAACGGTCAATCTACTTATGAAAAACTCCGCAGATACCAAACAGAACGACTTGAAGGACACCAATGTCGTCCATGCCTTCAAATGCCCACTTGGGGACTGTAAGCCCCAAAGAACTCAGTATAAGGGCAAGACAACAACATCTCTTTCCAGGCGATTAACAATGCATAAGCAACAGGGATCCATCAAGAAACATAAAATCTCTTCCCACAACCAGACCATCACCAGAGAAATCTTAACAAACAACACAGAAATCATTAATAGCTACAGCGATAGCAGGCGGCTCGACATCAGCGAGGCACTACACATCAAAAAGTCAACTCCAGCAATCAACAGCCAATTAATGCACCACTATATTCTACCCACTTCAAGACCCCGAATTAATATAGAAGCAGCAGGAGGAGGTATGGGACAATAGGCCTTCTGCAGTTACTTCCATTTTTTATGTTTTCATTCCCATTTTATACCCATTGTTTTGTGTTGTCTTGTGTTTGTCACCTCACCCAAAACTTTTGTGCCATATCATCTCACCCAAAGCGATTATACGTATGATGAATTTTTATCTGTTAACTATGTTTTTGAAAATGTAATAAGAATTACGAAACACGTTCAGCATTATTAACCTTTCCTTTTTGTTCATATTCAACAATATATATATATATATATATATATATATATATATATATATATATATATATATATATATATATATATATATATAAATATATATATATATATATATATATATATATATATATATATATATATATATATATATATATATATATATATATATATATATATATATAAAATCAAAGAAATCATAATAGCGTATCTATCAATGATAAAATATTTTTCGGTGCTATGAGTTTCTTATTAATATATCACGCCATTGTGATTTCTTTGTGATCTGAAGGAAGAGTGTAAGGGTGTGAGAGCACCAATACCCGCAAGCCAGAGTGTAAACGGACCTATCGTAAAATCCTGACTGGGCACCAGTTCGGACCAACAGATCCTCCCGGTAAATTTAATATAGTTCCAGGCTGTTTGGATTTTGTAATCTGGAGGCTCGTTGGCTTAAAGCAGGTGTCTTGGAAGGCAAGTCACCCCATTGCCCAAAGAATAATTTTCTCATATATATATATATATATATATATATATATAGTCGTGCCGACCTAGTAGCCAGAATGCACTTCTCGGCCTACTATGCAAGGCCCGATTTGCCTAATAAGCCAAGTTTATTTGAACCTGAATTAATATATTTTCTCTGAATTTTTTATGCTTATGAAATGAACCCATAAAGCTACCCATTTCACTATGTATTAGGTCAATTTTATATTATTCGAGTTAAATTAACGTAGATATATGACCGAACCTAAGGTTAGGTTAGGTTAGGTAGGTTAGGTCGGATAGTCGAAAAACAATTAATTCATGAAAACTTGGCTTATTAGGCAAATTGGGCCTTGCATAGTAGGCTGAGAAGTGCATCCTGGCTACTAGGTACGACATATATATATATATATATATATATATATATATATTATATATATATATATATATATATATATATATATATATATATATATGCAGTTTATGCACAGGCAATGAACAAAACTTCAAGCAAAACAATAATTAGGATTGAGTAGTGTTGTTGATGCGATGGTGTTGATTGTGATTGGTGGTGGTGGTGATGGTGAGGGTATTGTAACATTGCTGTTGGTGATGATGGTGATTAACAGTTGTTAGTTGTGATGTGTTTTTGTTCTTTGAATTGGTTATGTGTTGCTTTTGTTGTGTTGTCTTGTTGTTGGGGGGGACAAGGTAATTGTTGTGATGAATTGTTGTTGCTGTTGTTGATGGTGGTGATGTCTTGTTGTTGTTGCTGATAATTGTGGTGATGAATTGTTGTTGTTGTTGTTGCTGGTAATTGTGGTGATGCAGTTAATATTCCAACTGTTGACATTTATCTTCTATTGACACAGCTGGTAAATATGTTTAGTATACATGTTGTTGTTGTTGTGTGTGTTGTTGCTCCTCTATCGCTAGTGCACCCGCCGCCGTGGGAAACATTTTTAATTGACATGAGGTACACGATATCGAATAATCTTGTTGCAAGTTGTTTGCTGCTATTTCTTCAAAGCGTTAATATTGACATTCAGTTATCTTCAATAATTCCTAGCACATATGGATGCCAAATGTCAGGGTTTTCAATGACGTATTTCAGGTGATAAGTTCGTAAGGGTTGCCAGGTCAGACGACTTGCGAAGTGTACAGTGTAGCGAGAGTTTGATTACTCAAGAAAGTTTCGTTCTTGCGTCCCCCCCCCCCCCCCCCATCCCTCTCCAGCCAATCAAGGCTGATGGGGTATTAGTCACGTGATGCGTCAATATTGAATTGATTTTAATGCGACTAAAGTACCAGAAATCTGACGCAGTAGTTGAAAATGCGAAGACAAATTATGTGTAGCATCCACTGTCTTTTATATTTCGCCAAATATAATACAGCGTCCGTATCAGTCAATCAAGTCAAGCACAGCATCGATCCATTAAGAAGTAGTTCATTAACATGTGTGCCAGCAGAACAAAAATATAAATCGATACAGATGACAGGGAGTTGTCGCTTGACCGTCATCGTCCTGACGTAGATACCATAGAGACAACATAGCCGGCTACCAGAGATGCTGAGAAGGTTGATGTGTCTGGTGGCAAATACCGTGTGGCCTAGACGCTGCGGCACAGGCCTGGGGAGATGTTTCACAAGGTGTGATGAGGCTTTACTTGCGCGTCTTTCGCTCCGGTTCACCTGGGTATTATGTTCTTGGGATATGCAGGAGCCTATAGTGTGTTCCATTCTTGCATCTGTAATGAATGGACCCAACAAAGTGGCCCCAGTATGCAAAAGCATTGCCAGTTTCAGCCGAATCAACGTAATCAATATTGATTCACAGTTGAATTTTGTCTGACTGTCTATCTGTCTCGGTGTCTCTGTGTCTGTGTCTCTGTCTCTGTCTGTCTGTCTGTCTGTCTGTCTGTCTGTCTGTCTGTCTGTCTGTCTGTCTGTCTGTCTGTCTGTCTGTCTGTCTGTCTGTCTGTCTGTTCTGTCTGTCTGTCTCTTCTCTCTGTCGTCTCTCCTGTCTCTTCTCTCTCTCTCTCTCTCTCTCTCCTCTCTCTCTCCCTTCGTCTCTCTCTCTCTGTCTCTCTCTCTCTCTCTCTCTCTGTCTCTCTCTCTCTCTCTCTCTGTCCTGTCTCTCTCTCCACTCTCTCTCGTTCTCCTCTCTCTCTCTCTCTCTCTCTCTCTCTCTCTCTCTCTCTCTCTCTCTCTCTCTCTCTCTCTCTCTCTCTCTCTCTCTCTCTCTCTCTCTCTCTCTCTCTCTCTCTCTCTCTCTCTCTCTCTCTCTCTCTCTCTCTCTCTCTCTCTCTCTCTCTCTCTCTCTCTCTCCTCTCTCCTGTTATTTCTGTTAATTTACGTGGTTATTAATAATTCTTTCCTTTTATCTTGTTCAATTTTGTCGTTATTGTGGTGAAAATCGTTTTCATTCACAGTAGTTCGATTGCGTCTCTTTGCCTTCCCTATTTCTACAGTTCATAACCTCAATAATCTAATATAACCCACCAGCTGTGTTCGTTTAGTATGTTGTGGTGCAGTACTCTCACTCTTCTAACACAGACATATCCCTTCAACTTCAAGACAGAGATTATTGCACATATCTCAACTCTACGAGTCTCGTACAACTAAGGGGGAAGTGGAGGTAGGGGGGTGGTTGTGAAATGGGGGAAGAGGGTGCATTCTCAAGGGAGAATCCAATACAGATTGAATACAGCTTTCTGAAAGACACTACGCCAAGGTTTCTTAAGGCTATCAAAACCTTTGCCAATTTAGCCAGTTTGGTAGAATGGCTCACTGTTTCTACCCCACGAGCCCGCGCGGGGAATGAAACCTACTCTAGCGATGCCAACAATAACTCGACATATTTACACTCAACAATGGGAAGTTAAACAAGAAAGTTTAGTGTTTAAACATTTTATCTCAGCCTAGAAAGCTAAACACTGGCGCCGTAAGAGGAGAAAGGATGGGGTTTGTGTAGGAGCAACAATACACCCATCATGGAGTATTACGAAGATAAATATCACGCTCAAAGTGCAGAAAACGATAGTTATTCCCCAATGATAGCCGCTCAGTGAAACTGTATTGCCAAACCAAACATGTAAGAGCCCAAGCTGCCCCACCTAACCCATCGAAGCCCAAGCGCAGAAAACGTCAATATTACGATGCCATAAGTTAAACTAATAGGTCGCATTTTAAACAGATTCGTCGATTCCAGTGAAAATACGACCAATTAGTATAGAGATCTGGCTGA